ATTATTCAATAAATTTATATTTTACATTATACAGGTATACCTGTTTAAAAATGCTTGTCTAGATACTCGATGTATTGATATTTTTATATTTATATTTTTTATTTTATAATATATGGTATAACTTTCAAAATATTTTGATCTTTTTGAGCAATTTATCATACTGAAAGTTTACAAATTAATTCGCAGTTAAAAATGTTCAATTTTTTTAGCTAAGGAAAAAATATATTTAAAAATTTAAAATAAGATTCTACGTAAGTAGATACTCCTAATAAGATACTGTAACCAACAAATTTAAAAAATATATAAGAACAGTTTTTTTTACAATTATTTGAAGTTCAAGGTTGGTCGAAATTAAGTATACCTATGTAGTGCAGTAATTTAAAAAAACAATTTACTATGAAGTATTATCTATTATTTATTACCATTTAATTAAGTACAATAATATTATTATTATGTTATCGTAATTAGGTAATAGTTATTGTAAATTCGGTGAATTGCAGCAAGTCTAATGACAATGGCTATTATGTTAAACCAGTTTTTGAACGGATAGTGAGTTCGGAGAGTACACAATTACGAATTACACACACTAATGTTCATTTACTTCCAACACATTGACACGGACCCATATGCACTGCAATATAAATTGCCTAGTTTTTACTCCTTAGAATGGACTACGCTCCAGCCCCCTATGGCATCTAGCCGATATTTAAGATCAAATATTTCTTGAGTAAGTTTTATATTGTCGTTTGCAATTCTAACATTTTCTTTCCGAATCTCTTTCATCTCTTCTAAGATTTTAGTAACTGTTATACTAGTCATCAAATTTTTGACTCATGAAATTCATAGAATTCGCAAGATCCTCCCTTGAAATTTCCGAATCAGTAGATTTAGAACTTATATTTTTTGGTTTATCCCATTTAAATTTGCATTTATTGCATATCCATCTGCTACGTGTATTTTTGGATTGTTTATTGAAGGTCGCTTCAGTAATGCCTTCACATAAGTAGTGGTAATAGTTATTGCATTGCGAACAGATAATTTCATCGCTCGTTATTATAGTTTCGTTACACTTTGAGCAGTTCGACATTATCTTGAATGATTAGAGAGCAAGGTCCATGTAACACATACTATACGTAATCGACTTACGCACAACCGCACGCTTTGAATGCTGATATATATACCACTGTTCTCATAAATAGTCAAGTAAGTAATATTAATATTCGTAATTAATTTATATAAGTCTAATGCATCAATCTGTTATCATAATGATATTGGTGGACATGAGCGCAACTAAAACACCCCCCCCCCCCCATCTCTTATTCACCCTTAAAAGACCAAAAATAATGTGATAAAAGTGCGATTTTATTATTTAGTAGGCAACAAGTATGTTACAGCTATAGTTCACTGACTAATCATGTTTGAAGTAATATAAAAACAGAATCAGTGTTGAATAAGAAAGTACCCACAGCCCAAAACAAAAAAAAATAGGTTTAAAATAATACATTATAATCATTATATTATTATTAACCAGCATGAAATGTCTGTTATTTGGATTTGTAACTTGTAAAATATTATATTGTAATAATAAGAATATTATTTACTTTGTAAATAATTATATTAATAATATATATTTATACTAGCTGATCCCGTGCACTTCGTTTCCCGTTAAATGTACCAACTCTATATGACTCCAACATTGTTCAATGCAATATTTAATATTCGGTGTATGATGTTCTAGATTTATCTTAACTTTTCTGTTGCCCGGAATAAAAATTCTGAATTGCAGCAGTACATTATCAGATAGGTAATTTACCTGCGGTAGATCGCGGACCCCGTGCTATTTGTACGTAAGTGTATGATTTAACTCAAAAAGTACCAAAGTTATACCAAGTTTGACGTTTTTACTTAATTCCACCTACCTATAAGTCCTAACCTAGCATAACCGTACTAAAATCCGATGAATAAAAAAAACCAAATTTAACCCTTTTTAAATTAGCGTATCTTCTTCCCATAGGTCTAATCTACACACCGTCATTCATTTATATATAAGATATATTTACAAAAAATAATAATACAAATCAACAAACATGCCCGATTAACCAATAGCAACCAATATAATATAATACACCATAGAGTAAATAAAGAAAACGGTATCGAGTTCAAATCCCAGACATCAATAAATAGTTTTTGCAGTTTTTCTAATTATTCGGTTGACTTTTTAAAAATTTTCTTTCGTAAAAACCTCCACCTGGCAATTACGAACACCTTAAAAAAAATTTGATCAAAATCGGCCCAGCCGTTCTCAACTGATGCAATTTCGAATTTTTTGTCTCCATTTTTATATATATAGATTATATTCCTACAAATTAAATAAATAGGTACCTAGGTAATAATGTTGAAATTATAACAAAACTTTGTTATCAATGATTTTGAAAATTGGTGGGGGAGGGTGGAATTTACATTTAAGTATAAAACTATACAGGGAGTACCCAAGGGGGGTCGGGTCTGGACCCCCCATGAATAACAAAATTTAAAATTCTTAAGGTGCAAATGACTTATTCATTATTGTATACTTTTTAAAAGTCAAAAAAAATTGGCCCCCCCTAAAAATTCCTGGGTACGCCCCTGTAACTATATAAGTGTTGCTTTTTCAAAAATCCTTTAATTATTTTAAGTGTGTCGTTATTTTCATGGATATAAATTCGCAAAAAAAAAGGTTGTGAACCACTGATATATACTATTATAGCCTATAGTATAATATAATAATATAGGTGTTAAATGTTAATAGTTTAGTACTTAATATTGTTATTGAGTTTTGGCATATTATATATAACAGGGGTGGCCACAACGAGGCGAGCAATTTGACGTATAGGCTCGAGCAGTCTCCTCGTTCTTTCCACTTATATAATGATAAATGATTGATGAAGTCGAATATTAGTACATATCTGTACCTTGGTACTTGACATTATTATATCATATATCTATTCAATATTGAATAGGTAATGTATGAACTGGTGCCACTACACCAATAATTTCGATTTTTATAATTTATAATCCTGTAGACATGAACTTCTAAAGTTCTTACACAAAGTGTCAGTGACACACTATTTTAGTATTTCATGTGCTTATTTTTAAATAAAAATGTACCGATTTAGACAACAGTAAACAATGTAAGTAAATAATATTGTGGTCTAATTTTGGAGGGGAATGCACTTAGAATAAACAATCACCACATGATTACAACGAAAAATAAAAATGTTATTACTCAAAATAATATAATTTTATATTTACAAACACCGGTTTAAAAATTGATCAGAAAATTCTTTTGCGGTAGGTTAGGTATCCTATATTGCGACAATTCCGACAATTGATATTTGATACCCGGTTCCAAAAGAGAAGACACCAGATTTACGAAGCAAAACTGCCAACTGGTTTTGCCTTAAAATTTCTTTTGGAACATTATATTATTATCCTATTATTTTAGGAATAATTAAAAAAAGGTGGGCAAGTGGGTGTCGCTCTGCTGTACAGTAGGTTACATGTGGGTCATTGTATAATGGATGATATTAAATTTGAATTCAACGATATAATATCATTGTATAAGAAAAACGATTCTGAGCGGAGACGGTATGTCAGTCTAGGTATAAGACATATTATATACATATCTATGGTACTAAACCAAAATTTGACCTATAATAGGTACCTATAATAAATTCCAAATTAATCATATCACAATATCAATTAGGTACTTATAACGCGTTATACATCAACAAAAACCGTGATACTATCATAGATATATAATAGTACACTTTAGAAGTTTCAAGTAGGTACCCACGAATAATATTATTCAATCACAACAAAATAACTAAAATAGTTATTCTAGGTTTTTTAATATGTAATTTCGTCCAAATTTGAATTTAAAATGTCTGTAAAAAATAACTGTGTTCATATATTTTTTAGATTTTTTGGTTACAGTATGAACTATTTATGAGAAGCTTGGTTTTAAATTTGCAATCCTTAGCTATAAAAACTGAACATTTTATTATTTATTAATTACAATGATTGATAATTTTCAAGATTTTGATAAATTTTGTCAAAATTCGATCTCGATGTTTATAAAAAAAAACTGTGCCTATGTATTTTTAATATTTTTCAACTGATATTGTAACAATATATCAGGAGCCTTGTATTAAATTTATTTTAACTTAATTGATATTTATAGGAAAAAAAACTAAAAAAAATTGAAAACTGATAATGTCCGTAAACAGCTCAAAAAGAGTCAAAATATTTTAAATATTTTATGGTGTATAGAAAATGCTAATTTAAACATTCAGTGAAATTTGCATGTATCTACAGTTGTTCCTTTTTGAATTACAACAAAATAAGGAAATCGCTACATGAGAAATCGAGTGAATATCCAATGTTGTAAAAATTTGAATTTCAAACGCTGTAACCAAAAAATCTAAAAAATATATGAACACAGTTATTTTTTACAGACATTTTAAATTCAAATTTGGACGAAATTACATAATAAAAAACCTAGAATAACTATTTTAATTATTTTGTCGTGATTGTATAATATTTTTCGTGGGTACTTGAAACTTCTAAAGTGTACTATTATATATCTATGATAGTATCAGGGTTTGTTGTTGGTGTATAACGCGTTATAAGTACCTAATGGATATTGTGATATGATTAATTTGGAATTCATTATAGGTTTTTATTATTATCATTATAGCACTTTTACTGTACTAAAACGTGATAACAGACAAAAAAAATTAAAAATTAAAAAATTAAAAATTAAAAAATTAAAAATTAAAAAAAATCACACATCATTGTAAAATCAATACATTCATGGTTTCACTCAGAATCTAAAAACAAATATGTCAAACTTTGGTATCAATGGATTTGGTCGTATTGGCAGATTGGTGTTGAGAGCTTCGTTTTAAAAGGGCGCCAAAGTTGTAGCCATCAACGATCCATTCATTGGTATTGAATATATGGTATATTTGTTCAAGTACGATTCCACTCATGGACGTTTCAAAGACGAAGTTTCTGTTGATGGAGACGTTCTTATTGTCAATGGTAAATATTTTACAGTTTAAATAACAGTTTATAATTTATACTTATTATGTTACAAAATCATTAGGAAACAAGATCAAGGTGTTCTCTGAACGCGACCCAAAGGCCATCCAATGGGGATCTGCTGGTGCTGATTACGTAGTAGAATCCACTGTTGTGTTTACTACCATTGAAAAAGCATCTGCTCACTTGGAAGGTGGAGCTAAGAAAGTTATCATCTCTGCACCATGTGCTGGTGCACCAATGTTTGTTATTGGTGTTAACTTGGATGCATACAATCCATCATTCAAAGTTGTATCCAGTGCTTCATGCACAACTAACTGCTTGGCTCCATTAGCCAAGGTTATCCATGACAACTTTGGAATAGTTGAAGGTCTTATAACTACTGTTCACGCTACCACCGCCAAACAAAACACTGTTGATGGACCATCTGGAAAAGTCAGCCTCTAAAAATTGTCACTTTTAACATTATTTGTATGATTTCAATTTTTTTATATTTATAGTTGTGGAGAGATGGCAGAGGTGCTGCCCAAAACATCATTCCTGCATCTACGGGAGCAGATAAGGCTGTTAGTAAGGTTATCCCAGAACTTAATGGAAAATTAAATGGAATGGCTTTCAGAGTACCAGTTGCTAATGTTTGTGCTGTTGACTTGACTGTAAGGTGAGTTATCAAAAGTACTATTCGTTTTAGTTAGATTACAACAATATTACTGTTAGCATTTCTTACTCCATTTTTGAATACCAAATACTCATAATTCAGTTCTTAAGAAGATCTTACAACGCCATTTGTTGTCTCCGTCTTACAAGTGCGTAACATAGCAAATTGTACACTCATCAAAACACATTTTGTTCCGTTAGTTTACATATTGGAGTGAATTGACGTCTTATACCTAAAATGTACGGGTAAGATTATTATCTAAGCAATCTCATCAGCACTTTATTATATTTTAATTTTAAAGCTAGTTATGACTATTTTATAAGATTACAATTACATTTTACAATTTACATTTTTTAAATACTCATAACTCACTATTTAAAGTTAAAATCTAATAAAAAAAACCATGAGATTGCCTAGATAATAATCTACCCTTTAAATTGCATATGTTACACACTTATAAGATGGAGACAACAAATTTCGATGTAATGTCCTCATAAGCAATTCAGTAAAGTACCTACAATGATTATTAGAAATTATACTATAATCAAAATAAGAATGGCAGTCTGCAGCGCAAGGCGTAGCATTTTTCCATAAGACTAGCCCTTTTGTGTCGACTCAGTGGGGGAAGCGTCTGACCGTTTACAATGAACACTACCATTCTTATTTTGAATAGAGTTTAATAACTATATTTGTATTGGTTTAATATAAAAACTATTGAAACCGATGAATATTCAGATATAACTTACATTCAAAATTATATATGTAGGTAAGAAATCTTACAAGTATACTACAGCTCAGAAAAAAAAGTATTAATATTTATTTCATTATGTAGTTTACTGTTGTAGTAAACAATTAATTGAATAATATTTACATTTTCTATTTTAGACTTGCAAAACCAGCATCATACCAAGATATCAAAGATAAAGTCAAGGAAGCCGCAGAAGGACCATTGAAAGGAATTTTGGGTTACACTTACAACTTATCTTATGGTAACGAATCATAAATAAAACGATTTACCATATACCTATTAATTAATTATTTATTTATTTTTTAGGTACGACAATGAATATGGTTACTCCAACCGTGTTGTGGACTTGATCAAGTACATGCAATCTAAGGATTAAACCGTAGTTTCAAGCTAATACTAATAGTTGCGATAAGTAACTACACATTTGTGTTTTAGAATAAAACTACATTTTTTTTGATCCCTATCATCAATATTTTTGTTTACTGTGTGAAATTTAGAATATAATGACATAGTATTTTCACTTTAATTATTTCATTATTGTTTTTTCCTATCAATACCCACCCGGCAACGTCCAACTTAGAGCAAATCTTTGGCCCTAGTGCCCTATGGCCCCTTACTTTGATACAACATTATACATTATATTTAATCAATGCCCCTTATACACCGGACTTGCATACGATTATATAGAGCATGGTGCATACGTATCGAATCGATTTATATAGATACTATTATTGGCTCGCTGCTCGAAGACCTTAACCCGGATCGATAACAATACGACAGCTATACAAAATAATATCGAAAATCGACAATAATAACAATGATAACGTAGGAAGTGTGGTGTATGGACTGTGGATTATGTAGTGTGTACGTATCGTGCCGGCAAAATTTCTGCCATGCCGGCGTAAAACCGGGGGACGACGGTTTGACGGGTTATTTTCTCATTTGTCGCTTGCCCGGGTCCCCCTCTGCTGGGACGTGTGTCGATAGCGGACGTGGCCGTAGGTGTTCTCAAGCTGCCTACCCAAGTCGATGTGCCGATCTTGGTCGTCCTATTGCAGTCATTTATGGTACACACCCCATCGACTCAACACGCTTGACGTCGTCATCTCCATTTCCTTCAGGTGAGATTTTTAATAATAATTATTTGTGTCGTCTTTCACCCGATCGGCGATCTACAGATCGTCGTCTTCCTCATCGTCCGTCGCCACTCGAAACGAACTATTTATTCGCTTCTCTCCGCGAGCGTTTTCGTTTCGTATTGTTATTATATCATGTTACGTTCATTTTCAAACGCATAATCTTGTTGTCAGGGACGGATTGGAATAACATGATTCGTAACAGGCGATTTTTACTCCCTGGCGATTCTTACTGGGGGAGTAAAAACTATCGGGAGTTAATATTTCCTATACTAACAGGTGATTTTTACTCCCTGGCGATTTTTACTGGGAGAGTAATAATTATCGGGAGTTAATATTTCCTATACTAACAGGTGTATTTAATCACTGGTGATTTCTACTGTGGGAGTTGTAATTATCGGGAGTAAAAATTTTCTATACTAACTGCAGGCGATACTTACTGCTTGTCGATTTTTACTGGAGGAGTTATGATCATGGGAAGTAAATAATATTATTAAATCATAATATTTATTTCCTATACTAACAGGCAATTATAACTTTCGTCTCTCACTACCAGTCTTATTTAGAATACTTTTAAATGTATTCAGAATACTTACCTACCTATTTAAATTTTATTTAGTTCAATAATTTCAGAAGTCACATATCTATAACTATTAGGTATATTGTGATGTTAAATTTCAGCCAGGTAGATATTATGCATTTTAGGTATTGTGTCATCTGCGTATTTAATGAAATTTTAAAAATTCTTAGAAGCATTATACGTTCATAAAATATTATTTTAAAGACCAATTTTTAAAATTGTAATACCTAGGTATATAAAACGAAAATATTTTTCGCTGAAATACTACGGTAAAGAGTAAAAAAATATTTAGTATTCTGGAATAAAATACAAAGTAAAAGTAGATATTTTGAAAGTATTTAAAACAATACACTTGTCAAATAGTATTTAAATACAAGTATTCGAATTTCGAATACCTACTTATATAAGTTATAACAAGAGTACAAGACTGGCCAGTGCCCACATCTGTACACATTATTTCAGACCCATTGCCATTTAAGAGTTAGAATGTTGTTCCCTCATAACTCGCTTAAAAATTTAAATATAATAATATGCCCATGAGGTTGTCTAGATAATAATCTTACCTTTAGATTTTATAAGAGGTCAATTTACTCTACTTTTACGATTAACTTCACTTTATCTGGGAATAATCGCCGGGAGTAATTTTTTCCTAAGCTAGCCGGGAGTAAATAAACTGCAATAATAAAAAAAAACTTATAACTAATGTTTATGTAGGATTATTCCATTACTTCTTATATTAATTATTAGATGATAATTTTAGTAAATATTAATCGTTTTAGTTTTCACTATGTACGATTTTATACATAACTAGCTTTAAGTATTACCTGCAGCAGGCGTTGCCCTGAGATAAATGACACAGAGATGAACAATCCACCTTGTTAACTTTTTTTCCTACATGAACCAATTGCGAGCACAAAATAAATGAATATGTGTTTATGAGACTAATTAGATATTAAACAAAATAATTTACATACAATATTATTATATTAAACTAGCTGATCCCGAGCACTTCGTTGCCCGTTAAATGTACCAACTCTATATGACTCAAACTTTGTTCAACTCGTTATTTAATATTCGATGTATCTTGATACATTTGAAAATTTTTAAGAAACATTTTTAAAAAGGTGGGTAAGTGGATGTCGCTCTGCTGTACAGTAGGTTACAAGTGGGTCACTGTATAATGGATGGTATTAAATTTGAATCCAATGATACAATATCATTGTATAAGAAAAACGATTCTGAGCGAAGACGGTATGTCAGTCTAGGTTTAAGACATATTATATACATATCTATGGTATTAAAAAAAAAATTGACCTATAATAAATTCCAAATTAATCATATCACAATATCCATTAGATACTTATAACATGTTATACATCAATAACAAACCCTGATACTATCATAGATATATAATATAGTGTACTTTAGAAGTTTCAAGTACCCACGAATAGTATTACACACTCACAACAAAATAACTAAAATAGGTATGCTAGGTTTTTAATATATAATTTCGTCCCAAATTTGAACTTAAAATGTCTGTAAAAAATAACTGTGCGCATATATTTTTTAGATTTTTTGGCTACAGTATGAACTATTTATGAGAATCTTTTTTTTAAATTTTCAATCCTTAGCTATAAAAACTGAACATTTTATAATTTATTTATTACGATTATTGATAATTTTCGAGATTTTGATAAATTTTGTCAAAATGCGATATTTAAATGCTTATAAAAAAAATTGTGCCTTTGTATTTTTAATATTTTTCAATTGCTATTGTAACAATATATCAGGAGCCTTGTATTAATTTTTCACACTTTTTGGCCCAACAGATAAAACTTTATTAATATTTATAGAAAAAAAAAACTAAAAAAATTTAAAACTGAAAATGTCCGTAAACGGCTCAAAAAGAGTCAAAATATTTTCAAAATTGTATGGTGTATAGGAAATGCTAATATAAACATTCAGTGAAATTTTCATGTATCTACAGTAATTCGTTTTTGAATTACAACAAAATAAGGAAATCGCCACATGAGAAATCGAGTGAATATCCAATGTTGTAAAAATTTGAATTTCAAACGCTCATAAAAATTTAATTTGACTTTCTTATAGAATTTTTTTTTTTTGATAAATGTAGAAAATCTTATAAGGAATCTTGTATTACATTTTCATATCTTAGATTTAAAAAGAAAAATTTTTATGTATTTCTAACTCGAAACAATTTTCAAATTTTCGTGATTTTTCCATATTTTGTCATTTTTTGAACTTTAAATGCTTATAAAAAAAAACTTTGACTAACGATTTTTAATATTTTTCATCTGTCTTTGAAACAATATAGTAGGAGCCTTGTATTAAATTTTCAAGTATTTTTACTCAACAAATAAATTTTTATTGATATTCATAAAAAAAAAAACTAATAAAATTGGAAACTGAAAATGTCCCTAAACAGTTCAATATAAATCAAAATATTTTTAAATGTTATCCAGTATAGTAAATGCAAATACAAACAACCACTGAAAATTTCATGTATCTACGGTCATTTGTTTTAAAGTTACAGCAAAAACCAAAATCGATTTTTTGGAAAACCGATTTTGCGTAAAAATTCCCGTTTTTCCTTAATTTTTATGTTGTTTTTCCCGGCGCTCTTGAAAACTACTGGGAAATTTAATGTGCACCAACGATATTCACTTTCCAATCAAACAAGATACTGAAGTCGAAAATCGAAGCATTATTTCGACTACTTATCGTGTACACAGACACAAAAAAATAAAAAAAAATAAAAAAATAAAAAAAAAAACACACATCATTGTAAAATCAATACATTCATCGTTTCACTCAGAATCTAAAATGTATTACATTTAATAAGAATCAACATTTGACGAAAAAAAGACGATCGTTTATCGAAAATTTCAGATGTAAAATAAATTACCTACTGACACAGACGTACATTATACGCAGTGCATGAAGGCTCAAGAATAGAATTTAAAATCTATTTTTTTTAATTGTGACATAAAAAATTAAATATACCTAACTATAAAAAAATAAATTGATAATTCGTGTTATTTCAAAAATTGTTTATGATTTTTTTAAGTAAACATTTTTTAATTTTAGATATTTAGTGCATATAAATGCATATTTTTTTAAACTTTTTAAGGCATATTTCAACGCATATATTGCCAATAAACTGATATTTATCGACTATCGATACACTAAAATTCCTTCCCTGAAAATCTTGGTAGTCTTAATGAAAATTAATTGAAAATAGTACTCTGGTATTATAGTTTTATGTTTAAACCTTGTTAGTTACATTCACTCGCTAATTTATTGAGATGGTACCTTGTCTTCAGACGTGTACATATATTTTGTATGTATATATGTATATAAATACTGCATAGTAGAAGTTGCCTTATTGTGAGCCGTTTTAAATATTTTTCCCTGCACCTTATCAATTCAATTTAATCAACACAATTGGTTTTGGGTGGTTTTCACTTTCTAATTGTATGACATTATTTAAATTATTTTTATATTAATGTTTCATTATATGAGTTTAAAAACATTAGAAAAACCTTCTTATAATATATTATAATATTAATGTGTGTACCTAATTAATTTTGATAAAAGTATTCTATACAAATTTAATTGTATTAGGTAACTATACAACTATTAAAATTAAAATGATTTTAGTAATATTTTTTATAGCCATTATTTAGTAAAACATTTTTACAATTTTAAAGCTAATATGGTAAATTAGTTTTTATTAACTCCCGAGATATGAGAATGGTAACTACATCAAAGAAATGTTTTAATCATAATATACTATTTTATGTGATTAATTTACAAAAATTAATTTCAATTAAATGCAAGGTCATTGGCTAAAACTGTTCAAAAAATTTGGCAATCGTTAATCAAAGAAATTTTCTTACAAACCATTGATTTATAATTATTGGTACCGTACTCATTAGTAAATTTGGAAAAATGTAATATTATTTCATATATTCACTAAATCATCACTGGTATGAATTACTAGTATTAAATGAGTTCTAAAATTCTGTTACCTATTTAGTTACCTTTGTACAATTTTAGATTCCATCTCAAATTCAGAGTCAAATATATCTTCTGGAAATTAATAACCAAGCTAAAATGATGAAAAAAATTGTTTCCATAAGTAGGGTCATTAGACCCCTTCTATCAGTCCTGCATACTTGTACCCCCTCCCATATTACCTATTATATAAATGAATTACAGATTATATATATTCTTCTTTTCTAATATATTGTTTCTACTATGAAAGATTTTAAAAAAATGTCAATATTTAAGACTGTTATTTTTATTAAGAATGGGTTTTGGTTTTAAATATAAGGTAATCAACGTCTTATTGTTAATACTTGAATAGTTATTTTGATTAACGATAGGCAATAACCAATAGCCGCTTCTAAAAGTACAAAATTGAAGTGTTTTCAGTTCCTCCTCTATACTCTATTCACTATTGAACAGAATCTATTTAGAAAAAAAATGTCCAGTTTGGCTCGACCCCCTAATGTGGAGGTAAAAAAAAATGAAGCAGTTGTGTTGGTTGATAGTGCCAGTGGAATAGATATCCAATTTTGACACATTTTCATCTATCGGCTCGGAATTCTGAATAGAGCATAGTTCTCAAGGTTTTTTTATCGGTATGAATTACAAATTAAATCTGTAAACCAATCTTAGGTCTTGAACTAAGAACCACATCTCATATAATAGTAATTAATAATACTTAAAAAATATAGTGATTTATTAAAAATGGTCCAATCTTCATCTATTTTTTGTGCCTTGATAACTGAAAAGTAATTTACTCGTCAGAAGGGATTATTCTTCTTGAATGTTATAAATATGTACAATATAGGTACACCTTTTATCATTTATAGGTAATCTACACCAAACATTATCAGTTTATGTTGATACTTCTGACCATGGAACTTACACCTTTAACTTTCAAACCAAATAAAAAATGATTTAAATTTTAATAATCCTGGAAAATAATGATTTTTCTTTTTTTTATTATTAATTATATTCTATTATTAATATTTTTAGTAAATACAATATAAAAAAACAAATATGTCAAACATTGGTATCAATGGATTTGGTCGTATTGGCCGATTGGTGTTGAGAGCTTCGTTGGAAAAGGGCGCCAAAGTTGTAGCCATCAACGATCCATTCATTGGTATTGAATATATGGTATATTTGTTCAAGTACGATTCCACTCATGGACGATTCAAAGGCGAAGTTTCTGTTGACGGAGACGTTCTTATTGTCAATGGTAAATATTTTACAGTTTAAATTACAGTTTATAATTGTTTACTTATTATGTTACGAAATCATTAGGAAACAAGATCAAGGTGTTCTCTGAACACGACCCAAAAGCTATCCAATGGGGATCTGCTGGTGCTTATTACATTGTAGAGTCCACTCGTGTGTTTACTACCATTGAAAAAGCATCTGCTCACTTGGAAGGTGGAGCCAAGAAAGTTATCATCTCTGCACTAAGTGCTGATGCACCAATGTTTGTTGTTGGTGTTAACTTGGATGCATACAATCCATCATTCAAAGTTGTATCCAGTGCTTCATGCACAACTAACTGCTTGGCTCCATTAGCCAAGGTTATCCATGACAACTTTGGAATAGTTGAAGGTCTTATAACTACTGTTCACGCTACCACCGCCAAACAAAACACTGTTGATGGACCATCTGGAAAAGTCAGCCTCTAAAAATTGTCACTTTTAACATTATTTGTATGATTTCAATTTTTTTATATTTATAGTTGTGGAGAGATGGCAGAGGTGCTGCCCAAAACATCATTCCTGCATCTACGGGAGCAGATAAGGCTGTTAGTAAGGTTATCCCAGAACTTAATGGAAAATTAAATGGAATGGCTTTCAGAGTACCAGTTGCTAATGTTTGTGCTGTTGACTTGACTGTAAGGTGAGTTATCAAAAGTACTATTCGCTTTAGTTAGATTACAACAATATTACTGTTAGCATTTCTTACTCCATTTTTGAATATAAATAATGAAATATGAAAATATATATAAATAATAATTTAAATAATAATAATTCATATATATATGAAAATACTCATAATTCAGTTCTTAAAAGGATCTTACAATGCCATTTGTTGTCTCCGTCTTACAAGTGCGTAACATAGCAAATTGTATACTCATCAAAACACGTTTTGCTCCGTTAGTATACAAATTGGAGTGAATTGACCTCTTATAAAATGTACAGGTATTATTATTATCTATGTAATGTCATCAGCACTTTATTATATTTTAATTTTAAAGCTAGTTCTGAGTATTTTAAGATTGAAATTACATTTTACATTTTTTAAATACTCACAACTCGCTATTTAAAGTTAAATTCTAATTAAAAAAAACCATGAGATTGCCTAGATAATAATCTACCCTTTAAATTGTATATTATGTTACACATTTATAAGATGGAGACAACAAATTTCGATGTAATGTCCTCATAAGCAATTCAGTAAAGTACAATGATTATTAGAAATTATACTATAATCAAAATAAGAATGGCAGTCTGCAGCTCATTTGTGCACGGAGGCGAGGCGTAGCATTTTTCCATAAGACTAACCCTCTTGTGTCGGCTCAGTGGGGGAAGCATCTGATCGTTATCAATGCCCACTACCATTCTTATTTTGAATAGAGTTTAATAACTATATTTGTATTGGTTTAATATAAAAACTATTGAAACCGATGAATATTCAGATATAACTTACATTCAAAATTATATATGTAGGTAAGTAATTTTACAAGTATACTACAGCTCAGAAAAAAAAAATTAATATTTATTTCATTATGCAATTTACTGTTTTAGTAAACAATTAATTAAATAATATGTACATTTTGTATTTTAGACTTGCAAAACCAGCATCATACCAAGATATCAAAGATAAAGTCAAGGAAGCCGCAGAAGGACCATTGAAAGGAATTTTGGGTTACACTGAAGATGAAGTTGTGTCTTCCGACTTTATTGGTGATACCCACTCATCAATCTTTGACGTTAAGGCGGGAATTTCATTGAACGACCAATTTGTCAAACTTATCTCATGGTAATGATTCATAAATAAAACGATTAACCATGTACCTATTAATTATTTATTTATTTTTTAGGTACGACAATGAATATGGTTACTCCAACCGTGTTGTGGACTTGATCAAGTACATGCAATCTAAGGATTAAACCGTAGTTTCATGTTACCATAAGTAACTACACATTTGTGTTTTAGAATAAAATTACGTTTTTTTTGTTCCCCATCATCAATATTTTTGTTTACTGTGTGAAATTTTGAATAGAAATACTCATTTTTTTTTTTTTGTATAGAAATTATATTTTTGTTTATGTAAAAATCCTAAAATAAAAGATCAAACAATTATATACCTACCTCGATATAAAATAATAAATAAAACAATGAATTTTAGAAGATAATAAAATTATTATCAAAATCTTAATACTGTAAATTCATTAACACGTTCACTGTCCGTTGTGTTTAATTAAAACCAAATTGATCAGTCCTATGATCCATATATGGGTCACGTTAAACTTATTTGATCAGTCCATGACCCACATGTGGTTCATTTCATACATTTATTTCCCTGTAGTTTATTTTTATGGACTACATGCTATGCAATTCATAATAACACAGTGGACTGGTGAAATGATAAGCTTTCTAATGAGCTTTCAATTTTCAATGGGGACTTATCAATAAATAAAAAATGAACCACATATGGGTCATTGGACAGTGAACGTGTTAAAATATAACAATAACAAGATTGATGTGCATATAAGGTAAATGCTTGAAAAATGTGTATATGATTGGTTCAGTGATTGTTCACATTGGTAAGCGCCAATTTTCGTTGCATATGCTATTGCATGGGCAATATAATTTTGTTCGTGAATGGAATGTCCTATAACAAATATTTGACTTAGAAATTGATAAATTAATTGTCTATACTCTGTTCAAAATAAGAAATCTAGACGGCGGCCAGCTACTGCGCAGGGGCGTGGCTAGACTATAAGCACGGATACAAATCAATGCCACCCCAGGGCTTCGGCGGGAGCGACTCATTAGTCTATCTTTGATGATTGACATGAACACATAACTTAAAACAATATTATTTGAAATTCAATGGAAAGGCGCGTACATAGCTGCGTCGCTCGTAGTCGGCCGAGCTGGTGAGCAGATGGTTGATTTGGTGGAGAGAACAATAGGGTAGTCTGACCGCCGCCCGACGAAAACTGATCGCCGCCGTCTAGGTTTCTTATTTTGAACAGAGTATATTAAATACTTACCTTTGGCATATACTGCTACGTCACTTCCACCATGTAGTCCTGTCTCTTCCTGAATACCAACTTGTTGAGTATAATAATGAAGAGTTGTATTACTAACTGTTGAATCCTGCAGTCTAATGACTGAAGTACCACGACGGTTATACACTGGACTCTTAGCATATCCTATAGAATACGTTAATGTTGTGTATCTAACGTAATCTGATTCTGATACTCCTGCAACACCTAGAATATTATTCCCTCGTTTTGGATATCCATTAAATGATAGTAAGTTAGCGTGGTCACTGGTCACAATCACTAATGTGCCATCTAACATGTTTAACTGTCTGAGCAATTCGATTGTAGTTTTGATTGTTTTATCAAATTCGACAGTTTCGTCTAAAGCTAACCTGGCTGTGCTTTGATGGTGTGCTGCATCAATTAACCCGCTTTCCACCTATGACACAATATTATAAAGTAAAATTAAATAGTTAAAATTTATGGAAAAGACTCAAATAGTAAGCTTATTAATTAGGAATTTAATTAATAAACAATGAATAACAAACTTTCTTTTATGTTTGAATTCTTTCCTTAAATATAAAGTATTTTGCCTGTCTTATACTTCAATAATGTAATTTGAGACTGTTAAATTATTATTAATAATATGTATCACTCGCTTACTATGTACATGGTTACTGGAATCAGTGGAATCCAATTGGATAAGTCATAATATTATAGCCTAAATGTACAATAATACAGAAGTTATCTTAAGAATTGTATGGTAGTATCTTTTATTAACATAATAATTTCCAATATTATTATTATATCATTTGCTTGAGAGTAAAGCAAATCAAAGAATATGTACCTAGGTACTAAATTGTGCAAGTTTTTTAAATTGTTGTCAGCACATTTTCATTTATTTTGGAAATATACATGCCAATTGTTCACAGACAGTCACGCACATCGGTCGTGTTTTATCTTTTCAATTATATCATTAGTTACTATATATTATTATACATACTATTCAATATGTCTAATAAAACATCTATTGAAGACATCAAACTTGATGACATAAAACTTGCATTAGACGAATTAAAAATCTCAAACGGTAAAATTATCGCGTCAGTTAATAGTACTAACAATGGACAAAATAAACTTAATAAAAAATTTGATGACATGTTAAAAACTATTCTCGAAGATAATAAAATTCTAAAGGACAAAGTTAATACACTTGAAAAAAAAGTAGCTCTTTTAGAAAGTAATTGTTCGATTTCTTGACCTTCTAAGGAAAATGATCTAGTAGAGGAAGTATTGGACAGACAATTACGCTCCTGCAATTTAATTATGTTCAATCTACCGGAGGTTATAGCAAATTAAAACAATTCTGAAAATGATCTTACTAGAATTTCTAATATTTTCAAACAAATGGAAACTAATATTTCAAAATTTACTTTCACTTGTCTTGGTAAAGACATCTCTAGTAACCCAGAAAAGCCGCGCCCTATAAAGATTATATTAAGCAACACACTAGAAGTTTACTCGTCTCTAAGATTACAAGCTAACTTACGTAAATCTACAACTTGGTCAAATATTCGGATTTCTTCAGATCGTACAAATTTCCAACGTGAACAAATGAACAAACTTCGCCAAGAACTTCAAAAACGTAAAGATGATGGTGAGAATAATATTATTATTAAATATATCAAAGGAACACCAAAAATGATTACTATCCAAAAAAAGTTTTAAATAATTCGGATTTTAATCTT